ATATGCAATTTTCAGAGGTCCATTTATGGACTGAAGCAGGCTTCGAGGAGCTGGAATCTTCGCTTTGATGAGACAATCAAAATGTTTGGTTTCTCACAGAACGAAGACGAGCCGTGTGTTTACAAGAAGGTCAGTGGGAGCACAGTAGTATTTCTAGTGTTGTATGTGGATGACATTCTTCTAATAGGGAATGACGTTCCTACCTTGCAAGATGTTAAGTCTTGGGTAGGAACGCAGTTTTCTATGAAGGACCTAGGAGAAGCGACCTATATTTTAGGCATTAAGATCTATAGAGATAGATCGAGGCGGCTTCTAGGATTGAGTCAAAGTACTTACATCGATAAGGTCTTGAAACGGTTCAAGATGCAAGATTCCAAGAAAGGAACCTTACCGATGAACAGTGGCACAGTTCTCTGCAAGAGTCAGTGTTCTACGACACCTGATGAGCGAGAACGCATGGGTTGGATTCCATATGCCTCGGCAGTTGGATCCATCATGTATGTCATGCTTTGTACTCGACCGGATGTATCCTACGCGTTGAGCATTATGAGTAGATACCAGTCAGATCCAGGTGAGTCACACTGGATTGCCATCAAGAACATCCTGAAGTACTTGAGAAGAACTAAGGATGTGTTCTTGGTGTACGGTGGGTCGGAAGACGAGCTCACTGTAAAAGGTTACACCGATGCTAGTTTCCAGTCAGACCCGGATGACTACAGATCACAGTCTGGCTATGTTTTCTGCTTGAACGGAGGCGCTATTAGCTGGAAGAGTTCAAAGCAAGCGACCATTGCAGATTCTAGTACAGAAACTGAGTATATTGCAGCGTCGGATGCAGCAAAGGAAGCTGTTTGGATCAGGAAGTTTGTTGGCGACTTAGGTGTCATTTCTAGTGCTGATAGCCCCATTGTTCTGTATTGTGACAACAATGGAGCGATCGCACAAGCGAAAGAACCCAGATCCCATCAACGATCCAAACATATACTCAGACGATTTCACCTTATCAGAGAGATCATAGACAGAGGAGACGTGCATATTTGCAGAGTGTCGACAGATGACAACATTGCCGATCTGTTGACGAAGCCTCTCCCTTCGTCGAAGCATGAGGGTCATGTTAGGGATATGGGCATTAGATGTTTAGCAGTCCATGATTAGAGCAAGTGGAAGATTGTTGGTGTATTTCTCTATGATGTACTATTTTTGCGAGCTTTATTTAGATACATTTGATATATTGACACTTTCTATGAGTTTATGGATGAGTGTTTGATTCATTATATATTGTGCATACTTGATATGTTATGAAATCCATGTATTGTTATGAACAATACTAAACTCCCTAGTCATAGATCATTGTGGGAATAATGATATATTAAGACTAGTATGATGTGTGATTGATGATCATATAGATGATCATAGGTATTGGATACGATCACAATCATAGGTATTCGTTGGAGAACGGAATACTGGATTGACCCGTATGAGATTGTCACATGGACTAGCGTCATGACTTGAATCTCATGTGACGGTTCCATGATTGGATCCTAAGACCTGAGATATCTACAGAATCCAACATGAGGAGTTACGTGCTTTGAATACGTCAAACGTCCTGCATAACAGGAAGACTATAAAGGCATGTATCAGGTACGAAACGAATCATGTGCTGGATTGTAGATAGTCAAGACGAGACTGTAGAAATGTGTTGCCGCACTATAGACGAACGTCGTCTATTTCAGACAGTCGAACTTAGTGAACGAGAAAGCAGTCGAATCAGATAAGGTGGCTCGTCCATGCCTTATGTTCGACATATGATATCGCGATTCAAAAGAATTATCAGCCGGAATCATCATTGGCGTTCGTAAGATCACGAACAAACTCTATTCGAGATAGGTAGTCATAGTGTCTTGCTAGAGACTGCTTATGACTTGTATATCCGAAATAGAGATTTTGGGTTATACTGCTATATCGAATGAGCCTACAGGGTCACAAACGCAGGGAAGGACAAAATGCATGAGAAAACGACGGAAAAACCGAGACGGAAGGATCCAGACCGGACGGACCAGAAGGGCCAGACTTGACGGTCGTCAGGTCCAGACCGGACGGTCCACCGAAGGCAGACCGCCCGTTCTGGCTTGTCCAGAACAGACGGTCCACGGAGAGCATACCGTCCGTTCTGGCTTGCTGGAACGGACGGTCCGCGTGTATTTCGGGACCGTCCGTTCCGGCCTTCAGGTTTTTCAAAAATTAAACTGAAATTACGGTTAAATCACTTTATAAGAAGAAGATTAAACCCTAATCAAAGGAAAGCGACTTTAGAACACTTCTTCAGATCTTTTGTGAGATCCAAGAGGTTCGAAGTGTGATGTAAGTCTTGTTTTTCTCGAAACACAAAACCGAATAGCAGATTCGGGTCCTAGCAGACAAGTTCCAATCGTTGGAATCCATCTCGAGGTGTGGATACGTGTAGAGGGCGAGGTAATCTTCCTCCCTTTCGTGATTGGACGAACTCTTCGATTGATACAGGCCCGGATCAATTGAGGTAAGCGTTCTAACGTTTCTACGATTCATACATGCATGGTTATAGAGTTTCATATAATTTTTGTTTTACATCCGCTGCGCAAACCCTAGAATCGATCTCTTAAGAATAGGATTCGCTCTAGAGATCCCAGGAAACCCAACATTAATCTCTTAGGTTTTTCTCTCTCAAAACCTCTCAAAAGAGTCTGAAATCAGGCCCAAGAGCTTAGGAGGTGTTCCCCAAAGTTTCTTACACTTAAAACACTAATTTGAGTGAGTTAAGGAAATTCCGACGTCTGGACCGATCGGTCTGGAGCTTATGCCTTTGGACCGATCACTCCAGGCCTGGACCGATCGGTCTGTAGCATTTTTTCGCAATATTTGCGTTACCTTTGGACCGATCGGTCTAGGTCTGGACCGATCGGTCTAGGCTCCGCTCCACCGAAACATCTCGTCTTTTCTCACGCGTTTGTCATTTCCTGTGTGTGTGACCCTGTAGGCTCATTCGATATAGCAGTATAACCCGAAATCTCTATCTCGGTTACACAAGTCGTAGGCGGTCTCTAGTAAGACACTATGACTACCTATCTCGAACAGAGTTTTTCGTGATCATACGAGCGTCAGTGATGATTCCGGTTGAGGATCCTTTTGTATCACGATATCTAATGTCGAACATAGGGCATGGACAATCCACCTTATCTGATTCGACTGCTTTCTCGTTCACTGAGTTCGACTGTGTGAAATAGACGACGTTCGTCTGTAGTGCGGCCACACATTTCTACAATCTTGCTCACACGAGGGGTCCAGCAATATCTCTCTTTTACGAGAGGTACAAATCTCATCTTGACTGCCTACAATCCAGCACGTGATTCGTATTGTACCTGATACACGCCTTTATAGTTCTCCTGTTACGCAGGACGTTTGAGTATTCAAATTACGCAACTCCATGTTGGATTCTGTAGATATCTCAGGTCATAGGATCCAATCATGGAACTGTCATATGAGATTCAAGTCATGACGCTAGTCCATGTGACAATCTCATGCGGGTCAATCCAGTATTCCGTTCTCCAACGAATACCTATGATTGTAATCGTATCCAATACCTATGATCATCTCTATGATCATCAACCACACATTATACTAGTCTTAGTATATCATTGTTCTGACAGCGATATATGACTAGGGAATTTAGTATTGTTCATAACAATACATGGATTTCATAACATATTAAAGCATGCACAATACGTAATGAATCAAACACTCATCCATAACACCACAGAAAGTGTCAATACATCAAATGTATCGAAAGAAAGCTCATACAGCAGTACATCATAGAGCACTAAACCAATAATGACCACTTTAAGAAAAGAAAGCCTTTATGCGAATCTGAAGAAATGCTCGTTTTGCAAGGACGAGTTAGTCTTTTTAGGCTTCGTGGTCAGTTCTAAGGGGCTACGAGTTGACGAGGAAAAGATTAGAGCCATTCAGGAATGGCCAACTCCTACCACTGTCGGACACGTGAGGAGTTTCCTCGGGTTAGCAAGTTTCTACCGACGATTCGTTCGGGATTTCAGCAGCTTAGCCGCACCTCTCACCACCATCACCAAAAAGGACGTCACTTTTGAGTGGGGAGAAAGTCAAGAACGTGCGTTCGAGTCACTTAAGGACATATTTGACGATGGAGCGTGTGCAATCTTCTCAAATATCGAATCATCCATGCTGAGTTGGATGAAAGACAAGGCTCTTTGGTCCTTCACCTTTGCCTCCTTCACCGCTTTCTTTATGGCGGAAGTCGTCGTAGCCAAATCTTCCGATTCATGATACTCATCTTCGATTGCATCCCACACGTCTTGGCCTCCAAAAAATGCTTTCATTTGGATACAACACCTCTCATAATTCTCCTTCGTGAGTTTTGGAATCGGTAAAGATATACTCGAGCTGGCCATCACGAACCACCACTCTGATACCACTTTGTTACCTTTTTAAAAAACTTTGCAAAATGACCACTCAATGTACTTCCCGAAAACTCAAGTAACTCTCAAAAACTTCTCTTTGTTTTTCTATTCATACTCTCTCCAACTCTTTTTCTCACAACCTTTTCTTTTTTCATGTGTTTCTTCTTATGTTTTTCCTCCTACACATCACCCCTTTTTATACTTATCCTCAACACATATTTCTACACACATTTATTTAAACTAAATTTCCTATGCATATTCAATACATTCAAACTTCTACAAACTTCTACATTACTCCTTCCAAAACTTTTTGAAAATAGCATCCTTGACTTTGAATTCTTCTAGGTAATCAAGATTAATATTCAACAAGATACACATAAAAACCGATTTAATTCAAGAAAGGGTTTGAAATTGACGTATACTTGATAGGCCTCAATTTCATTTTGGAAATTACGCACTTTTCTTACTGATTTATTTTTCCATCTATAGGTGAAAATCTAGATAATTCATTTTTTTTAGTACCTTTGAAAATAACTTGAATAACACAAACATTTTGGATTGAAGCCAATCATGCAAGTGTCTCCAACGTTACACAAAGTAAACAGTAATGAATCAATACTGATGACTTTAACAGAATCTACTGCAATGTTACAAAGCTTTGGTCTGAAGCAGAAGACTCACCCAGAAACTCCGAACGCAGATGCATAAGCAGCCGACCAAGGTAGTTAAGCCCTTCTCCTTCGCGGCCACCTCCCCAGAAAAGATCGTGCGGTGAAGCTTCCACGAGAACAGATCCAACGGTTGAGAGTAACATCGATTTCAGGTAAGGATACATAGAGAACTTGCATTTCAGTGCAGTGTACATCACTTCTATCTTCACATTTTCCCAGTCCCCTCGAACCTAAAACCATTACCATGCAAGATTTCTTATGAGGAAACGATATGCCTAATAAGGTCAGCGACTTGCATTAACAAATGGAGAAAGAAAGAACTATGGGACCATCCAAGCAACAAGTACTTTCTGCACAAGGAGACTTGATATCGAGATTCTCAACTTAAGCAAACGTAACGAAAAAAACCCGGGTCTGTGTAATTACTATAATCATTAACTGATTTCAGCCTACTTGAAAGTTGTGCTCTGGATATTCTGGTCATGTTTAGCCAGCCAACATAAACAGAGCAGCAAATATTGGAGACTAAAACTCTATCCAATCATAATCACCAAGAATAGAGGTTTGCAACATGTGTGGGATGTGTTCTCATATGACAAGAGAAACTGAAAGCATATATATTTTCAAGGAAACTGGAAGACAGACCACATACCAGATCAGGATGCTGTCTCTGCATTGATCTTCCTATTCGAGCTGCTTCTTCAGGACTTTTTGACGCCCTTATTTTCTCAATGCAATCGCGGGACAGAGGATTGTCAACTCCTTTGAACTTGTGTGCCTTTAAAGTTCCAAGAAGTTGGTTAAAATTCCATGAAATCTAACGAGCAATAGACTATCCACATGGGCCCTTCTTGTACCTGATAATAGTGCTCCACACTTAGCCACGTAGCATAATCACCATTCCCAATGGCCATTCGAATTGGATGAGGAGAAAAATTTGAGAAACTTCCATAAGGGTCCCATGTTTTGTAGAAGAATATGATGTCAGATTCATATGGATTAACGGTAGGATCGATGGCAAAAGTTGCATCCTCTGAAGGGATAACCGGTAAAAGGTCAGGTATGGGCTGAAGAAATCCGCTGATAAGCATGTCAGGTCCAATCTGCAGTACCAAATATAGATCAAAACTCTCACGACAAAAGGAAAAAACCAGAAACACACCTAATCTGCCACTATGAAAGATTAAGTCATATATTAACCTGTTCGTAGCAAACATCAATTACGTTCAATGCTTGTGTCATTTCCACCATCCCCAGGTCACCAACAGGTGAGGGAGCATTCCTCCCACCAATAATTTTCGGGGCAACAAAAGCAACAACCTGCAAAACCAATTGGAAAAGAGAACAATAAAGTCCTAAGTCTCCATGATTTTAGTGATTTGCCGGCTGTATATACTAAAATATAACATGCTGAGAAGCACATTTACCAAGACATACGAGAAAGCAAAGCTAAGGAAATCACTCAGGGGAAACCACATTTTGTTTATGAGAAGATATCTAGACTAGTCCGGTGTGATTTTTCTTCTGTTTCAAAGCTGTAACTTATTGGACTACATCCTTTCCATATATTGAGAGTAACCATGAGTAAGCTAAGAACCTTGTGGATAACACCAGATGAAATAGCGGATGCAGCTAAGGTTCCTCCGCATTCCCATAAAATAGAAAGATATCCACGGTCATGGAAATATTCCATAACTTCTCTTGGATTTAGCATGTCAAACTCCACCACTTCAACTCCCTTGGATGCTAGATATTTCTGGAAACTCTTCCTTGCACCCCTTTGGGTAATAACTATTGTAGATACTTCAGATACATCCCAGAGATTGGCTTTCTCAGGAAGATCAAGACTCTGAGTCATTACAATTCGAGTAGGTGTATGACCACCTCCATGTCTTGCAGTCAATCGTGGATCTGCAATCATAGTTTATATAAAAATTGCATATTACAATCCACATCATACACGGTAGGCGAAAAAGTATATAGAGATGCAAGGAGGAACAGTATTTACCATCCCTGCGAACAGTATTTCCTCCAACTATCACAGCATCACTTTTTCCCCTCAACTCGAAGACCCGGGTTCTAGAAAGTTTGCTGCTTATCCATGCAGCATGTCCACTAGTAGCTGCAATCTTGCCTGTCAGAATGTAAACAAACCATTAGCCACAATCCTTCACATTAAAAATACAACAACAACGCCTTAATCCCAAATTTATTTGGCGCTGGCATAAATTCTTCGTTTCCACTCATTTCGATTTGGTTTAAATCTTCCGTGATTTGTAGCAACTTAAAATCATTACTAATGATTTGTTCCCATGTAAGCATAGGTCTACCCTCTCTCTCTTACTAACACCCATTCCTTCACATTAAAAGTATTCTGGAAAAAAAATATTCAATTGATACTTACCATCAAGAGTCATAGCATACTTAAGAACTGAGAATGGAACACGAGAACAGGCTCTATGAATCAGTGGAGCATTTACAAGAAGGCATGATTTCCGAGCATCCTGGAACAGATTTTGAGATAATCAAGAATTTACGGGTTTAAACCAGTCATTTGCGGAGAAGGAAACCCTGATACACCGAAAGGCTAACAATTTACAAATGGGTATCCATTTGGACAGAAGCTTTCTGTATTTCTCTCAATGGTTTCTGAAATCTGTAATAAAATATCTCAACCAAACCTATAACACATTTATGGATTTTCTCTGTTCTCTTTCTACAAATTCTGCTATTCTTTCAGATAGTAGTTAGGTTACCCAAGTGAGTAAAATATACTGAGTTCTTATGTAAAAAATAGGTAGGAAACCTATATCAGTAACAATATTACTTTTTCTACCCCTTTCACCCACTTGTCATTCCACATGGTTTCCGAAACAACAGCACTATGCTAGCTCGAATCCTTCAGCAGCCACAGAATTTCAGCTCACCAAACTGAGAAGGATATATAATATAACCACAGGCACAAGAATCATCTGACCATAAAAAGCATCACTCTTATTTCCCAATGACCAATAGGAGTTGCATTCAAGATGAAACTCAACGATGGGCAATTACAGCTCTCCTACAAAAGGTACAGCAAAATTCCGTGCATTGGAGAAATCAAAGAAAAATTTCTGGTCCAAGTGCTCAACCACATCCTAAAAACTTATGAAACCAAAAGGGACATAGAAAATACCCGACTCTAGCACCAAAAGTAAACTAAAAAGCTATAGTTATACCTCGAGAACTTTACTCTGAAGGTCCTCTCCAAGAACATTGACTTCAATTCCCTGACTTCTCAGCCCACGTATAGCAGTGCCTCTCAGATGTCGCAGTGGGTGCCTTATCCCAATTACAACCCGTCTGATTCCTGCCTAATCTACACAATCTCAATAATCCGTCCTCTGAAAATAATTGCAGCAGAAAACAGTCGACTAAGAGTATGCCTTTGTTTCGAGTGAACACGTTTCCACAAAACATTCACCACAACAAGTTTCTCCCCGCGAAATTCACAACCAACAATGCCTTATGCAAGAGAGAGAAAACCCAGATGGAGATTACAACCGGGGGGCGGGGGGAGAGAATTCTATATAAACAAACCTGAACAAGAGCAGAGACGGCCGTGTAATCTCCATGACAATCACCGGGCTCCATGTTCAGATAAGCCGTCGCGCCTCTGCAATTCTCGCCAGCGGTCACAACAGCCTGCACCTCCGCCGGAGAAGTGCCCTGCGCGTAGAGATATCCCTCTCCGGAGACTTTACCAGCGGAAGTGACGATTACACACCCGAAGTTAGGGTGAGGCGAGGTACGACCGGCGGACATGTCAGCCAGATCGGCGGCGCGTCGAATGAACGCGGCATCCTGCGTGTGGTGGTTGCTGCCTTTGTTATTGGCGCTAGTGAGAGTGGCTTTGCAGATTAAGGGAGACGAACAAATTCGAAGGGAAAGCGCCATCGGAGGCTGCAAAACTGGTCCACCAGGAAGCTGTGTTTTATTATGGAATGTAGATTAACATTTTGACTAGGGACAAACCAAAAAATAATTTTCTAACTATCTAATTTATATGTAAAAAACTATATAACTCATCAAAAAAGTATTATTCTAAATTTATTTATTAAAATTTATAAATTATTATTTAAAAAATTGAACTTCAAATATATTAAAAAAATCTACCGACTTCAATTTAAAAACTTTTTCATATGTTATTTTAAAGGGAGATTCACATATTAAATATTGAACTTTAACCAAATTTTCAAATTAAATACTCAATTTTCTCACTTCCAACTTCCAAATTAAATACTCAACTATATTAAAACTCGCAAATAAAAACTAAACTTTTCAAATTTTAACATATATTTAAGGGATAATCCAAAAAAACCCTATACTTTTTTTTTCGTTGCAATTTAAACCCTATATTTTTTATCCCAAAAAACCCTATACTTTTCAAAATTTTAAAAATTATACACATTTATATACACATATTAATTATTATAAGTACAAAATCAATTACAAATTTATTTTTTACAAAATTAATTGCATATTTATTTTATATATTTATATATATATATATATGTTTTATATATATGTGTGATATATGTATTTTTTCCTAAAAATCATTATATATATAAGAAACTATTTATTTGAGTTCAATTGTCCAAAAAAATATGTTCTTGGAAAATAGTTTCTTATATTTAAAACAATATACAAATAATAAATAGTTTCTTATATATATAATGATTTTTAAGAAAAAATACATATATCACACATATATATAAAACATATATATACATATAAATATATAAAATAAATGTGCAATTAATTTGATAGAAAATAAATGTATAATTGATTTTGTCCTTATAATAATTAATATGTGTATATGAATGTGTATAATTTTTAAAATTTTGAAAAGTATAGGGTTTTTTTGGATAAAAAAAAGTATAGGGTTTAAACTTCGACGAAAAAAAAGTAAAAGGTTTTTTTGGATTATCCCTTAGATATATATGTCAAAATTTGAAAAGTTTAGTTTTTATTTGTGAGTTTTAATATAGTTGAATATTAATTTGGAAGTGAGATAGTTGAGTATTTAATTTAGAAATTTGGTTAATTTTCAATATTTAATATGTGAATCTCCCTATTTTAAAATATATAAATTATCTCTCGTATAAATAATTATATATATAAATTATTGTTATATTATTTCATTTAATAAATTACAAAATAAATTGATATTTTAAATATCTCATATATTAATATATTAGAAATGTTATCATTTTATCATATAAATTTTTTAAAAAAAAATTATGCGAGACAAGACTGAAACTATCTGAAACCGAACCAATCTCGGTTAGAACCATACACGATTGTAGAGGTCGAGCCGAGTTTTGCCTAGAATTTGAAATCGGTCAAATTTCGGTGTTGGCTCGCTTTTGGAATCATGAGAAATACCTAATTTTATATTTCTATTGTTGGTTTAGTACTCTATGATGTACTATTTTACGAGCCTTATATGGTTTATGGATGAGTGTTTTATTCATTACATGTTGTCCATACTTCATATGTTATGAAATCCATGTATTGTTATGAACAATACTAAACTCCCTAGTCATATGTCATTATGGGAATAATGATATATTAAGACTAGTACGATGTGTGATTGATGATCATATAGATGATCATAGGTATTGGATACGATCACAATCATAGGTATTCGTTGGAGAACGGAATACTAGATTGACCCGCATGAGATTGTCACATGGACTAGCGTCATGACTTGAATCTCATATGGCAGTTCCTTGATAGGATCCTAAGACCTGAGATATCTACGGAATCCAACATGAGAAGTTGCGTACTTTGAATACGTCAAACGTCCTGCGTAACAGGAGGACTATAAAGGCGTGTATCAGGTACGAAACTAATCATGTGTTGGATTGTAGATAGTTAAGACGGGATTTGTACCTCTTGTAAAAGAGAGAGATATCGCTGGGCCCCTCGTGTGAGCGAGACTGTAGAAATGTGTGGTCGCACTAGAGACGAACATCGTCTATTTCACACAGTCGAACTCAGTGAACGAGAAAGCAATCGAATCAGATAAGGTGGCATGTTCATGCCTTATGTTCGACATATGATATCGTGATACAAAAGAATCATCAACCGGAATCATCACAGACGTTCCTAGGATCACGAACAAACTCTATTCGAGATAGGTAGTCATAGTGTCTTGCTAGAGACCACCTATGACTTGTATAACCGAAATGGAGATTTCGGGTTATACTGCTATATCAGATGAGCCTACAGGGTCACACACAGAGGAAAGGACAAACGCGCGAGAAAAGACGAGAAAATCCCAATGGAGCGGAGGCCAGACCATTCGGTTCAGAGGTCTTCACCGATCGGTCTAGCCAGCCTAGACCGATCGGTCCAGATGTAGACCGATCGGTCCAGAGGTGACGTCCAAATGTTGGTCGGTCCGGAAATGGTTCCAGACCGATCGATCCAGAGCCCTGGACCGATCGGTCCACACGTAATAAACTCCAGACCGATCGGTCTGTTGGTTGTAATACTCTAGGATGATCTGTGATATGACATTTTGACTTTGTATTGATTCATTGGTTTATGAATGCATTACTTTTTCCGTTATATGATTGGCATGTTTGTTATATTTCGGTATCCTTGAATCATTAGAGAATGATTCTATTCTCCCTAGTCAGTTATCATTGTGGGAGCAATGATGAATTAAGATTAACATGAGGTGTGATCGATGCATTGGATGCATATCACAATCATGGGTACTCGTTGTGAACAAGTGACTGGATGACCCGCATGAGATTGTCACATGGACAGAGTCATGACTTGAATCTCATACGGTGGTTCGGTCTTGGATCCTCATACCTGAGATGTCTAGAGTATCTGATATGACGAGTGGCGTGTCTTGACTGCGTCAAACGTCGTCTTTAACCGGATGATTATAATGGCGTTGATCAGATACGTTCACGAATCATATGGAGATAGTAGACATGCAGTGTGGGACTTGTCACCTCCTTAATAGGAGAGATATCGATGGGCTCTCTTGTGGAAGTCGGACTATGAAAAACGCGTGGCCACGCTATAGATGAAGTTACATCTATTCTATTAGTCGATTTGCTAAGACGAGAAAGCGGTTGAACTTGAAGGGTGGCTCAAACCATGCTCTTGTTCAACATATGATATCGTGAGACAAAGGATCAGAACTCGAGCTGTTAATGCCTTAGTTAGATCACCTCTAACTCAATTCTAAGTGGGGGGTGGTCATGGCGTCTTGCTAGAGGCTAATCATGGCTTGTGGTTCGGGAAAGGTTCCGAAGTCACTACCGCTTAGAATGGGCCTACAGGGTCACACACCACTAGGGATGGACTTATACGTGAAGAATCTGGAGAATGGAAATGAGATTTGATCAAAACGAGCATGAAAATGATTTTTCAGTGTGTTGGTCCGGAGCTGACCAAGTTTGGTCAGCCCCGGACCAAGCTGGTCAGTCCAAACAGTCCGGAGTTCGGTCCAAGGCCATCTGTTCAGGTCTGGTCCGGCTGACCAACTCTGGCTGACCAAGAGTTAGTCAGCTCCGGACCAGACTCTGGGTCAGACGGACCGAGGACCGAAGAGCG